AATAAAATAAAATAAAATAAAATAAAATAAAATAAAATAAAATAAAAATCTTTCGCGTATTTGTTGTCGATCGTTGTCGAACTTCTTGCTTATATAAAGACTCCCACCACCCCTTTAAACGATCTCCGATGTATCGAAGAAAAACACGTTTTTGTAATAGGTAATATCGTTGGTTTAATGAGTAATGTTCGTTTCGTCCCGGAACTGCTTGTTGGACACGGGAGTGAGACTTATCTAGTAGATCTCGTGGCTGAGATGTGATGCTATTAATCGTTTTGACAGTCTCGAATGAATCGGTAGTTTGTTAATATATAATTTGTTTGACCAGACTGTGCGAACGATTAATAGCGTCACGTCTATGGCAGGATCTGAGATAAGCATTACCGATGAATCCAGCTAGCAAATTCGGGGTGAAATGCTGCGATATTGCTATCTGAACCAAGACTACTATTTATCGTTACTGAATTATAAAGCGATAATTAGAACACCAGAATTCCTTTTCAAGTTTCACAGCAATTAAACGTAATTAGTAACGATACCGGTAAGACTGTATTTACACAAGAAAGAAACTACTTCTTTCTACAAATCAACAAATCCAACATGTTCGTTTTCGCCTCAATGCTATGTTTAATATTGCTCTACACACACTAGCAAAAGAGTACGCCACAAAAGAGTATTACTTTAATCAGGACTATTCAGCGCTCGAAGGAAAATAGCAAAACTTAGGAACGTATAAGCTTTTTTCCAAAGGGTGTACGAATAGAGCGAACGACGTATGTTGTATGCCAACATAATCTTTGTATTAGCTTTAGTTCAGACAACTCTGTTTTCTTCTCATCCTCCGTCAAACTCCAGCAGCAAACATTCCAAATTTCGCTACCTGTTCTTTGCTTTATGACCACTAAACCTAAGATAATTCCTATCCCTCCATTTTCTATCTTTCCCGAACCTATAAAGCCCGCTACTTTTCCCTTTGAACTCAGAATTGTCCGAATCGTCTTGACACGAGGATCTGTAACCAGTACCGCGCGTACACCTTTCTTGACTTCGTTCAATTTCGCTCGACGTTGTACTTGTTTAATAATAATAAAGTAACGAATCGAGCGGCGTACAACACGTACGTCGCGCCCGTAAAAGTAAAATCGCGCACACGTGACAGGGACAAGACCAACGGCCGGTAGAAATCCACGCGTACGTTAACGCGGCCGTCAAAGTGTCGCTGAAAGCAGCGTGTTCCAATTCCAAAATTATGTACTGTCACCGTCGCGTCATGTCGCGTCCAATTCGGTACACAACTCGCGCACGACGACCTGAAACTTTCCACGTGGGATCGATCGGAGTCACCGGTGTCGCTGGAACTATCGCAAAGTGGGCTAAAGGCGACCCACATGCGCGGGTCGCCGGCGAACACGATGCATTGAGGTCGCGGTCGATGAGAAACGAGCGTTTCCGCTCGAGAAACAACTTAAGACGACTGGTTTACGAGACTAGTTTTCTTCTTTTTTTTTTTTTTTTTGTTCAACAACTACAGATGAGGCTTGTGTATCAAAGCACGCGACGGTACAACACGGTTGACCGCCTACGGATTTTGACTGACTTTCGCATGGACAATCCACGATGTCGTCACGTGTCGCGTCGCTATTTCGTAGTCGATAGTTGAGATTTTTTCTGTCTTTCTATGATTCGACTTTCAGGTCATACATTATCCTGTATGTTCGAAGACCCAATCGGAAGGTCAACGATAAGTTTACATGCTCGCGAAGCTAGGCTGCTTTTCGAGTCCACGGCTGATATTGCTGTTAATTAAGTAAGAAGAGACCGAACGTGTCATCAAAGGTGCCGACGATTGTAGGTCGCGCCGAAATGCGTTCGACGTAGTCGATAGTTCGCGGCACTTCTCGCGGAACTCGCCTAGAGACTTACATTTTATTTCTTTTATGTTTTCTTCCCGGATGTTTTTACGCGTATACGAGTTACGCGCCGAATACTTTTTAACGACAGCGAGCTTGCTGAAAAAAATACTTTTTTTTCGCGAACCTCGTAGGTGTGTTTCAGTAAAATCGCACTACACGTATTAAAATAAGATATAACAAGAACGATGGAAATTTCATTGATGCGACATCGCTACTACCACGCAACGACTATAAAGTTGACACGTAAACACGTTTCGTCATAAATTAGCAAGTGAACGTCAATTGTAAAAATATCTCGCGTCTCCCGACCAAAAGCAACGTCGAAACTGAACGCCAAAACACAGCAATCGATACGCGGCTGCCAATTTCAAGTTCCCGGAATTAGCAGCTCGACCTTAAGTTCGAGACATCGATTGCGCATTCTAGATCAAATAATTTGAACACCCGTACGTTTTAAATGTCACGGTCATTCCTCCGTCGATAACGCTGATAATGAGATGTTCGCGGCAGATAAGACTTTATACCGCCTCTGTATGTTCGCCGATAAATCCGAAACCTCTTTGTAAAAAATAGATTATAGGAAAGCAGAGCTGGCGACATTTTATTGGATCGTCCGGAAAGTTCGTGCCGTTTTTTGGCAGGTGACGTTAGGACAGGTCTGAATATATCAGAACGTTATCAGAACGGACAGAATATTCAAATCGTCTGAAAGATGGAAAAAGGTTGTAGATCAAAATGGCACCTATATAACTTAATGAATTTATACTAAAATTTAAATATTCTGCGGTTCAATTTTCCTTCGAAAGCGTCACGAATCTTTCCGGACGACCCATTATTTGCAATTAACGCAACATTTTAACGTTATCGACCTCGTGACCTGAACTAATCTGTAATTTGATTTATGCTATGTGCTCGGACGATTCGTCTCGTCTAAAATCAATGACTGAAGTTCGACGATTGAAACGGGTGCGACCAGTTGAAACGGATTGGATCCAAGAATTATTTTCCAAAAATTTACTACTCACCATTTTCAGGGTTTCCTCCGGTCTGAGTAGATAAAACATAGACTGCAAGTGCTGTTGAATGTCGCATCCTGCCGTGGAGACCTTCCTCGAGGGTCTGGCCCTTTCGTTCGGGGGTAGAACCAGGGCCGCGCCCTTGCCTGCGAAGTAACATTCGCTCAGACTGTAACAGAAAATTGAAAAACTCGGTTAATATTTTGCCTATCGTATATTCTTCCAAACTTACATAGAACAACATCGTTGAATCATAACCAGTCAGCTGTGTTGGACGAGAAAACTCAAGAATACGGTAGTTCTCTCAGAATTCTCCCAGTGATTAACACGTTCACTGGCAGACTAATACTCTTGAAAATGTCTACTGTGATTAAATTTTACTTACATATCATCGGAAACTGTGTAATGAAACATTTATTGTGGTGTTTAGTTTTGTAACTTCGTTCAAGTTCAAGTATTTTATTGAAATTCATTTTCTGTGACAGTTAACTTTCAGAATTAATTTTCGTAGATTTTCAGTGAAAAGCACTGTCACCCCGTATATGGGTGACGTGGCGATCAACGTGTCAATAATAAACGACTTGTGACTCAGTTTTTGTAGAGTTACAGACTCATTCCGCGCGTCACAAGTGTATCGCACTACTTCTGTTTAATAACGTAGTGTATAACGTTCAATAAATAAGGATAAATCCACCATCGAATCCGTAAACGAACATCGATGGGCGATCATAAACTGCTGACGAGGCCGTGATATCAATTTCTAAATAACGCGGTGTCGTTACGGATCTCTCGCGAGAAAGAAGCTCCGCTCCAAGATGCACGTGCATCCAGATGGAGCTAATACATTTCAGTAAGAACGTGCACTCTCATTGCGATGACCAACAAACGAGACGCACGACGGCATTTCGTCTACGCGTAAGCTTCCGGTAACGCGCTATACAATGGGAAGTTTCTCTTTCACGAGGGTAGCGATTACACGCATGTAACCGGAGAAAAGAGAAACCTGAAAATCTATCTTCGGCAGCTCGTTGCTTCACAATCTTCGTTATCGAGAGCTGTGACGATTACTTTCACACGATAAGGGATCGGCCGCCGTGACGGAAGATCATTAACAAGACGGCCTTATTACTAAACTGGAGCGAGTTGATTTCTCTGGCCAGTTTCGCGGATCTCACCCCCTCTGAGTCATTCCGATAACTAACCCCCGTGATGGATGCCCAGTTATAACGGAAGCTGATATTTTACTTAAGCGGTGAGCAATAACTTGCGACGTCGAAAACGAAGCGCATCTTCGAGCTATGTGAAGCTGGCACCCGACTTTTCAAAAATGAATTTTTTTATTATAGAAAATGATAGTATTTCGTTCGTACTTGATTGTGCCGCCAATAGTTTCATTTGTACCGTCAATTAATAATTAAAAGAAGATTCAAAAAATGGTCAGCACCCGACATTGAGATTTTTGAAATCTGTTTTTTCCCTATTCTTTGGAATCGTTTGTACCCGTTTGTATCGCTTTTCGTTTCGTTTGTACCTCGATAGTTTGACACGTTGACTGCCAGGAGAAATATTCTTGAAAATTTCTGCTAGGATTAAATGTTATTCAGACTATTGGAGACTACGTAATCAAACATCCGTCGTGGTATTTATTTTTGTAGCTTCATTGAAATACACGAATTTCGTTTAAATTCGTTTCCTTTGAAGCTTAACTTTCAGAATTAATTTTCTCAGTTCTTCGGTGAAAAGCACCGTCACCCACGTATGGGCGACGCGGCGATCAACGTGTTAAATTTTATTTATGAAAAGTCGGGTGCCAGGTTCGCGTAGCTACATCTTCGCGAATTTTTCTCCATGTTCGGTCGATATATTTTATAATTAATGTTCTTCTATTCAAAAGACAGATGCTTGAAAATAGGATCAAGGTAAAGAGAATAGGATCAAAATAAATGTTTTATCATCGAAGAACAATTCTGTTATACTATTTCCATTTTAACACCCTCGCGATCTGACAGAGAATATTCTGACAAGCAACACCAACATTAACTCAATACTAAACAAACATTTTTATATCAATCCGCCTTTCTCTATGACGAAGTGAATACTGTATAAAATAATTAGTCGTTTTGTTTTTCTCAGCCTCCGTTATCTCCCTAAAAAGAAATGTCCAACTCTACCTGTCCACGTATCCATTCACGCAAATGGTTGGTACCCCTGCTTTCCCTGCCGCAGGGGTGTCTTCCTCAGGTTTCTCCGTAATGGCGCGCTCCCGACAGCCTCGGCAACCGAACAGCGATAATCAACACAACGCACAACAAAATATATCCAGAAATCACCGCTATATTGTCTTTTTAATCCGTTCGACGGAACTTTTAATTCACTGTTCGTTCGCGCAAACGGTTAATCCGAAAATATCTCTACGAATTTACTTCAGAAGGTTCTGCAGCCGGGAAGAGAATTTTATTTATACAGACGAAGAGTGTCGTCGACGGTTAAATCGAATTCTGTAACGAAGAACTCTGTAATTCTGTATCTGTTTGCTAGGAACGCGGTTAACAAGGTTTTACCGAACGTGTGACAACGCAAACAGAGATCAACTCGCGCACGCGATTAGCCCGAGGACCGATGGGATACTAAAATCATCTCGAGACTCATGCTAGAAATGCGAAACTGCGATGCGTGGGCGCGTCTTCGCGAAGGAAACCTTTGCTGCCCGTATTATTAGCCCTCGTGGAGATCGTGGCCTCTCTCTGTCGTGTGTTTTCGCATACCAACCGAAGGAATTCGTGGAAAGGAGCCATGTAACGCAAGGAGCCTGAGCTTTCGATAAAGACACCGTTGCTTCCTATTCCCATCCATCCTAGCCAACATTTTCTCTGCGTTGCGTTCTACTTTTTCTTTCTTTCTTTCTTTTCTTTTCTTTTTTTTTTTTTTCAAGCGGACGGCGAAAAACAGGAAGCTGCTCGAAGTAAACTCGTTTGGAAGAGTTAGAAGCCGAGCGGAAAATATACGCCTGTTGAACGATTGGCGTTGGGTGTTGGACGTTCGCCAACGAAGATTCGTAATTGTTTTCCACGCACCACCAGAAACTTCGAGGACTTGTAATTTCTCAAGGTAAAAGAGTTATTTGGCAATGGAAGCGAAAAATAGTCCGTTGCGTTTGTTAAACGTACGGTTTCTCGAAAATTTATTAACTTTGAGTGAGTCGGGGAACGCCCACAGCGGCGGTGATAGTAATTTCGCATTTATCCGGTCTTTACTGTACGCTACCATTTTATCGTTATTCAAATATTTTTCTATTCGTCTGGCGTACTTTTTAAATTCTTTTCCCGGCGGATGGGACAGCATCCTTAAAACAGGTCCCATAACAAAGTTTAATGATTTAAGAATCCCGCGGTCGCCATGTTCGGCGAAGCCAATTAAAACGAGAAGGATACAAATCGCCGATATAATTCCGTTGAATTGCACGCGGTTCTCGATAAACCCGACCGTACTTTCCGGCGATTTAAGTAATCGGTTTCAGTGATTCATCCGTACAGATGCGGCTACATGCTCGTGTATCCACGCATCTTCGTGCTCGACAACGCAGCAAGATCGCCGTAGAAATACCGAGCGTACATACCCTTATGCAGGTTCAAGAATATGACCCCGTGGTATGTACCGCGGTGTTCCTTTGAGGACTCTGCTTCAAATTACCTGAAGCCCTTTTTTTTCAAATTCACCAATTAACTCTTTGAAGTTGAGTGGGTAACTGAAACTATCCCACCTTTTGCTTAGCTTTACTATTTTCTTTATACCTTAAGGGGTTAGTCGCAGTCAGGAAGAGGAAAAACAACATATCTTTGTGATTTTTTTATTTTTTTTTTTTTTTTAAGTTATTAAATAATAATTTGCATAAGTAACAATTACGTGTATTATAAATCATGTTTTAAAGAACTAAAAAACATTTTTTTGATTTAAGAAGCGTTTAATTTATATCGTAATAACAGCCGATGACGTAGACGACGATTTAAAAACATAGGTTTCCGGCGAGCAAGATTTCTCTACACTGGTTTACCGGAAAACAAAAACAAAGGTAGATTACGAGGATAGATTAGTCCAGCGGGTCCCTGAACGAAGGATTTTCGAAAAAATTAATTTGAAACAAGATGGCGTACATTTGAAGTTGATTTTCAATTTGTTCACTAAAATTAAGCGATTCAATACAGGATAAAAAAGTAAGTATACAAGAGAATAAAAAGTCCTTCGATCAGGGACCCGTTAGTCTAATATATTTTCTAAATCTACCTTTAGTTTTGTTTTCAGGCGCACCAGCTTGAAGAAATCTTGCTCACGAATATACTTATGACGAAATGAACGAACCTTTTTTTAAAACAAAAATTCTTTTACAGTTCTTTAAGACATACTTTGTAATACATTTACATTTCATTCATAAAAATTATTTATTAATACCTTAAAAACACACACAAAAGAAATTGTCCGTTTCCATTTTCCTGACTGCGACTAACTCCTTAACTTTTAAGAATCAGAAATGTATAGAAGTTAAAATGCGTTCGCAAGTTGTTGACGCTGTTCTTCTGTGGCGCTTGAATTCTATTTTTCTTTTAGAATCGTGTGCCTCAAAGAGTTCAACCGAATAAATGAAGTTAGTATTGTTTCGCGGTAGAAAATTCTATCGTCAAGGTGTATCGATGAATTTTCGTTTGTCTGTTCGGCGCGAATCGGATGAACGATCGCTTTCACCGAGACCGTGATTCCCAATGATGCAACGTCAAGCGATGAACGGGAAAAGCGATGTTTAACGCGGAGAAAATTGCGTCTCGCACGGAGAAGAAAGAATATCCAGCGAATCACTGGAAGCCGGCCAACTAGAGCGGAAACGGTGAACGCAAAGGCCGACAGACAGAGACGATCGCCGGCAACCTTCCAAAGCCTTTCGATTCTCGAACGAAACGGTGGAAAAGCACAGGTACTGTATACTATCTGTAAAAATGCTGCGCCGAATGCGCACGAACGGAAAATTGCACCGACCAGCAATCTTGACTCCTCGCGGTGGTATTTGCCGCAGGCATGTTCGATCAATTGTTGCCATTAAAAATCTAACCAATAAAGCCTGAAAACGACCGCCTGACATTGGACAATTTCAATTACCCACTTACATTCTTTTTTAATTGAATGAAATGAAATACTTTGCTAGATTCTTCTTCCTTCTTTATACGTTCGTTTTCCACGAATGTTTATGGTAAGTAAAAGTATTTAAGCTTTATGTTATACATAGAATCACCGGAAAAAGATATCCATGCACCACGATGCATTTAGTTTAGGTAACGATAATTTTGTATACGTAATGGCTAGGTGAAAAACGAATCGCAATAAAAGCCTAGATACACAGAAGTAAAATTTCAAACGAGAGAAGGAAACTGAAATTTCTTTTTGGTATCGAACTATATCTCTATTGTGATCCATTTATATTATCGATACTTTTTTTTAATGCGCACGGTAACAAAGAAATCGAGCGAACCGTGCTTTCCGCCATGGAACACGTGCTCCACGTTTCGAGTTTTGTCTCGTGAAAACCAACTGTACGCTGAACCGGTTCTTGGTTTGCACTCCTTGGACCTACTCAAAATGAGACGACAAACGTCCAGACAGGGATGGGCAAAGGTACCTTCTCTTTCTACCTGCTCCAAAGATCCCAGAGCTCCAGCTGGAAATGTTTTTCAAGTTGGGCAGCTGCCGGGTTTAACGCGGGGATGAAAAGATTCGCCGATTTTCGTTGTTATTCGAAATGTTATTCCAAAAATCAAATCATTACAGCAAGTTAGACGTAAAGTTCGTTCTAACGAATAATTAAATTACTAATTGTTCATCGTGAAATATTCCACTCTGTGAATTAAACTGTAATTATCATTCTACGAGTAAGGAACGTTGTTTATTTATTATTTGGAAGATTTATCAAGATAAGAAATTTATTCATATCTGGTAATTTAGACGTAAGACGTAAAATTCGTTCTAACGAATAATGAAATTACTAATTGTTTATCGCGAAATATTCCACTCTGTGAATTAAACTGTAATTATCATTCTACGAGTAACGTTGTTTATTTATTATTTGGAAGATTTATCAAGATATGAAATTTATCCATCTCTGGTAATTTAGACGTAAGACGTAAAGTTCGTTCCAACGAATAATAAAATTACTAATTGTTTATCGTGAAATATTCCACTCTGTGAATTACACTGTAATTATCATTCTACGAGTAAGGAACGTTGTTTATTTATTTTTTGGAAGATTGATCAAGATAAGAATTTTATCTGCCAAACCGACCAATAGAATTGGCGCCGCATATATGCTACGAAACAATGATCCTCAGCCGACGCCCTCGGTCATCTTCCTGTGCCGCGCGTCATTTATTTAACGACAGCCTTCTTTGCCACTGGTTGGCTTAGTTATCCCTGTCTCGAGCAAGTTAAGTGGCGCGTGTTTGACTATGCACCGTCTTCCTTACAGTTGGATCGATATTTTACCTACGCTCGATTCTCTGTTTCGCACAATTTTTATTTAGCACGATCCAATAGATGCAAGAATACCGACTCTACTTTCCTGCACGAATCTTCTGCTTCGACGTGGCTTGAAAAACAGTTTTTCAAGATATCCATTATATAACAAACAGGATATTCGCGGAGTCAATAATTAAATCCTCAAGTTGTAGGAGAGCGAATTCTTCGTCTTTCTCACAGATACTTTGTACAGCGTAAGTTTACTATGATTCGAGGTTCTACTCGTGGCTAATTTCTATGCTGCTAAGTTACAAAATGTTTTCAGCTGCTAACACTAATTTGTAACACGTAATAATACACACAATAAACAGTAACTTGTATAAAATGTAACTCGCTACAAACTTCTAACTTGTAACTCAGTTTCAACTGGTACACGTTCCAAGATAACCAAAGTTCATCTGCTACTAATAAAATCAACTACTCGTTCTATTCGTTCAGAAATTGGAGCAACTTTCGTTCTTGCAAAATAAAATAAACATTTCGATATGGAACAAAATTCCTTCGTGGTTATATTCCACGTTTCGCGAATAAACACCATAGAAAGCGAAACACGAAATTTCGAATAACGATCATTCGATTCGTCTACTGTGCTTCGTGTTGTGGTTCCCGTCTCTAAGCAACACCGCATTGCTGTACAATTCGCCAGATACGATGATCGAGTGAATGGACGCTAATGCGATGTTGAAAGCAGTGAAACTTACAAGCGAGTGTATTTCAACTTAGCGATGCATTAACTTATAGAAGATAGAGTAAACACCAGCGAGTAACAGCTGTACTGTGAAACTACGTAGAACTATCAATCTCAATCGTGAGCTTTGATTAAAATCTCTATATTAAAAGCTGATCCAATGTTCCCAAACAAACTTCTGATCAATAAACTTCCTCACCTGCTGAGAAATATATGTTTGAATATGTATAAAAAGTAACTTTGCGCCGTTTCTCATTGATGAACACACAGCGATTTATTGATAATAAATAAACAACGTCATTCTTCCACTTACTTTTTAAAAATGTATATTTGAGGCTCAAAGAACTTCAAACTTCACATATACATCTTCTTTAACACTAAACCTTCCAACATTTCATTTATACCTATATCTATCGCGAGCAATTAAATGACTGGTCTTGAAGAGACTTTTTTTAATCGAATTCAAAAATATTTCACGTGGCACTAAATTTGAATGCATGAAACAATTGTATACAATTTATGTAAATATACAATAATATTACACAAATATTTGAAACTGCTCGTTTCACCGGGTCTGGTAGGCTTAATGTTAAAAAATAAATGAAAGAATAAGACGCCGTGCATGTGTTCATTGAGAAACGGTGCAAAGTTAGTTTCCGTGCATATTCAAACACAATTCCTAAGGAAGATGTGTATTTGATTACTGTAGCTGTATTTAATTATCTTCAATAGTTGGAATCGAAATTTACCAAAATTCGATACAATTTATTAGAAAAGAATCATTTCGAAACGAAAGCAAAAAATACTTGATTCGATCAAATAAATGGAAACGCATTTCCAAAGAAAAGAAATTCTCCCTTAACCGAACCCGGATCAGAATTATTCGATTTCAGTCGATCGAAGATAACTTTGAAACATGTAACCATAATGTAGAATTAAAGAGGTTCAAGAGAGGATTACCTGAAACGACAATCATTAATTCAATTAAGTCAATGAGTTATTAACGAACCAATGAAACTTGGGCCCTCGATGGACCCTGCGTGGTCGTCCAAGGGTTAAATGCGTACTCAAATGGAAACCTTTGCGGTACTAAAAGTGACGAGTGTGGCCATTATAGATTCGCATAGTATATGTTAAACATAAAACATGCGCTGAAAGGATAATGAATAAATATTTATGTATTATGCTAATTTTATTCTCGGTATCCGACAATTCCGCGATGTCTCGTGTTTGAGATGTTACCTCTGTTAGGAAACAAATTTCGTATAATGTTAAAATGTGTACACTTCTTGCGTAGTCTTTAATATTAATACCTCTCGCTTCGCGAAGATGAAGATAGTTTTAAGGAAGGCAAGTATTAAGTGTTTCTCGGGATATTTTCTTTTGCAGAGAAGAATTTATGCAAAGATTTCGTCAACATTAAGAATACTTTAGGCATGTTTTAAAGTATATTTGGTAATTTCTTCAATTCATTTCACACAGGAATCTTTGGAATATAACTTTTTCTTTTTTTTTTAAATTTCTTCAACTCGTGGAAATGATAATTTAATCACTAATTGATCGATTGTTTTCAAACTTACTTTATCTAAATTCCTTGAATATGAACTAAAAAATTGATATATATATTCTTAAAGAATTCAATTTTCAAATGTTTTGGTAGCAGTTTACTTTATATTCTCAGAGAACACGTTAATAATGTAAAAAAAGATTTCATCGATTTCAGATGATAGAAATTGCGATTTCAAATTACCAAATGTTCTTTAAAACGTACCTAAAATATTCTCAAAGTTAAACAAAATTAAGCAAACTTTACTCTGTGAAAAGAAAAATTTCGAAAAACAGGTAATATTTAGTTTCCTAATGTGCTCCCACCTCGCCCCACCCTCTCCTTAAAGCAATGCCAGAATGTCGAGCTTCAGACTCGGCGTTCTTTAATATGTTCGTCAAT